AATGTAAATACATAATAGGAAGAATCAGAAGAAGAGGAGGAAAGGCGTTCCATCTCTTAGCGGTATGATATGATAGTAAAAGAGAATCAAGGCATCGATATCAAACAAATTATCTATCAGTTATGCCACAAACTTTGTAACTAAATACACGCTTGTCAATATTTGAGGCCAACATTATTGACTTATTTGATTATATTCTGTCTAATATTGAAATTCTAAGATCAGAATGCAAGTGTAATAGGATGGGGACAAAGGTTTAGACTCAACTGGGTCCAGACATGCCTTATACATAAGCATTCAGCTCTGAGTTTGTCAATGGATGTGTACATGGCCTGGCCAGCATCCAGAAATCTGACAAAAGGTAATTACAGAAATCTGAAATACTAATAAATACTCTATAATTAGGGAGTAATATTTTGAAGAAGAGATCTTGTTTTGTACAGAAGAGTTTACCTTGCAGTCTTTTGTTCGTGCATCCTTGTGGCAACAGCAGTAGTAACCTGTTTCATGTCAGTTGTAGTTCGATAATATAAGATAGATGTTTTGCTTATAATGGATCTCTGCAAAAACAATTGGCCAGGCTCGAATTATTTGTACACATGGTTAGTGTTTCATATTGTTAAATGAACTCAAAGATTAAAAAGTTTCAAAGTGAAACTTATTTTAATAACATATATAGCTTAAATTACAGAAAGTATTTCTACACATAGTAAGTATATTTGTTTTCTTACTATTCCGAAGGTAGTTGACACTGTAATTACCAAATAGAAATGGATAGTGCTAGCTGGTGACTCGATGATGGCAAATTGGAAATCTAAGCAAATCGAGTAAAAAAATAAAGTTGATGCCTTTAGTTATTTCATCGAACACTGGTATGCATGGACATTCACACATACGAGCGAGATGCTACGTAGGAAAGTAGCACTGTAGCAGCAGAGAGGGGAGGAGCCGTGAGGAGATAAGGCGTGATCAGTGGGAAGAGTCTCTCTGTCACGGCTGCGGCTGCGAGGAGGGTGTTCCGGAGGTGGCAATGGCCGTGACTGCGAGGAGCCGAGGAGGGCGGCGCTGCTCACCTGCCCCGCGTGTCATGCGCGTGGAAATGAACGCACCTGGAGAAGCCACCTCCGCCTAACCCAAGGCTGGAGCAGGAGCTGTCACTGCTGTCAAGCAAATGAGGAGGAAAGGGGAAGGATGAGCCAATTCAAGAGGCGTAGCCGTGCAGGCCGCCTTTGCGGAGCTCGCGCGTTCCTAACACTGGACGCAAGCGTGTGGGCTATTTGGTCCGCGGTTGGGGCTGGGAGCAGAGGGGGCGGCGCTGCAAGGAGAGGAGGCGGAGCACGAGCGAGGGCAGCCTCGGCATGCTCTTCACTCGGGGACGTGGGGAAGCCATGGCTGCCAGTGGCGCTGCAGGTGCCGTCATGCCGGGTGGTCCAAGGTGGAGGAGATGACTCCTCGGTCGAGCGGGTTCCAGAATCCAGACTCCAGAGTATGCGCGAGCGCGATGCTCGGGTTCGCTTAATGGGTGACGGACCCGTATGACACGGAATCGGACGGTTCACCTCGCGTTTGCTTCAGATCCAACGGCTATCGGACTAATGGGCGACGTGGCACAATCCGGCAGCCCGGTTTCTGGTGCAGGCTTCGTATAGTACTAGATTTATCAACTTACAAAGGTCAAAGGTACCATATTCCTGATTTTAGAAGGGACCAAGCTCCTTTGATGTATGGAAGATGAAGTGGAGGATTTTACTCAGGATGCCTAGTTATCCAATGGTTAAACAGAAGATGATTGTGGCAGCTATTATGTGTCTCCATAACTTCATTCATGAAAATCATGCACTTGATAGGCATTTCTGTAGATGCGATCGGGATCTAGAATATATCAGCCTGTTCGGAAGACCGTAAACAATCGTGGATTATTTACTGCTGGCTGGTTTGGTGTGAGAGAAAAGTACTATTCTGGCTGAAAATTTACGATCGTTTATGACCAAACGAACAGGCTGTACCAACAATACCTCGAAGATATGTGAGACATCAACCATCCCAAAATTCATCTAATGCATCAACATCTGAAGCTAAAGACACCAATATGGACATATTTTGTGATGATCTTGCGAGAGCCATAATGCAATCTAGAGTGTATCTCTGTTCAGAGTAATCATGGACGCATGGCAAAATGTATTTTGTTCAAGGTTGTACAAGCCAAAACAATGTATTTTGCTCACGGTTATAAATATTTTATTTCACCTTGTAGTAACTGTCTACTCCATCACAACCACCTCTATGCAGAATCTAAATTTAGGAAACCAGCCAAACGGTTTCAACAAATGATTTTATTTTTTGGAGAAACGTTTCTCAAGAGAATCTAAATTCTCTGTGAACCTGGATCCTACCAAACGGATCTCAAACGGATCTCAGGTATCTATACATTTGATTGTACTTTAAAATTTGTGCTACAACTGTTACTTTAACAAGTTTGTAACTACGTGATCGTATTTATAAAAATCTGATAGATTTAATTTCCATCTCTATATAGGAATCCTGCATCCAAAAGCCTGATCACGGATCACCGCCACGTCGCCCGTTAACCTGCGAACCGTAGGATTCGAGGATGACGCGATATCCACCGTTCGATCGGGGTTCATCACGGGTCCTAGCCCGTTAGTCCGGAAACCCGGAAGTTCGCAGACGTTCGCGAATCGTCGTCACCCATGCTCAGCTGAAGCTCGCAAATTGTTTTGCCTCCGTGGAGCCGAGACCGCGCGAGGCCGCTCTGGATGAGCGGCGGCGCGGGTTCGCAAGGCCGTGGACGGGCTGCTGCGTGGCGGCGCGCGGGGCCGCGGAGGCGCGAACGAGCTGCTGCGTGGCGGTTCACGGGGCAACGGCGCGCGGCCGCGGACGAGCTCCTCCGTGGTGGCGCATGGGCTGTGCGGACGTGCGGCGGCACCCTTCTCGACCTTGCCTTCTGCTCCCTCTCCGGCGCCACGCCACCACCATCCAACCCACTTGTCCGAGACGAACAGGAAGGAGCTCTGGAGGACCACAGAGCTGGACAAGGAGGAGATCTAGATATGGCCAGAGGAGGCCGAACTGCCACTGCCAAATCAATGGGGAAGAAAAGGGTGGTGCAGCCCGGGATGCGTCGTTGCTGCCAGTAAACTTACTCTACCAACTGCATGCTGTACTTTTTTCTCGAACATGCTTAACATGTATTTCATTAAGAGGGGCAAGCAAAGTACAAAGAGTAAGCAAGACAGCGAAGCATTCGGGAGGCATCTAAGGCTGCAGCTAACCCAGCACCGGTACAAAATGTTCTATTACAGACAAACGAGTGTAACGACACTACGCGCGTATCAGACAACAAGCGCTAGCAAGCTCGCCAGGTCCACGAAACCTGCCACAATCCAACGGTTTCCTTCCTCTACGACCTGTTGCATGCTGTACTCTGAGAGAGGCAAAAACCTGGAACGTGCGAGTCCCGACATATGTGACTATAATCAGCAAGCGGTGCTGCCTTTCGAATTGGGCAATTTAACATGGTAATATTATTAATAACATTTAGGCCTTTTTTGATACGCATATATTCATCTTAATCTACGTGTGTTGAAGTGGATTGGAGTGGAATTAAACTAAGTTTCATTCTATTCCACTCCAACATATATGGATTAGAGTAAATACACATATATCCAAACAAGGCCTTAGGAGTAATCAATGAGCTCAAACGCCCTCTTATGCGCTCAAATACTAGCTACGGCTTGGCCTAAAAGGGGGTAACGAAGAAGAAATCTGAACATTCAAATGACCATTCAATTAGGTAGCCTCTTCATCGAAACTACATTTAAGACAATTTATCTACTCATGACTCGACTCTTGACCATCAAAATTTTGATACCCTACAACCTTGTTTGGATTTTTTGATTGTCAGCTCTTTGGAAGCTGCAACCTTTTATTACCAGCATATATTTTTTCTACTTTGTAGCTCCAGATTCCTTCATTGAGCCGATTGTGAATGAATTGATTGTTATGTCTGGAGGATGCATAGTTGACTGGGGGCCAATCAACCTCGCTTCTAGAGTTGTGTATGCCCACTGTAGTAAGAGTAAGCAATTCTGGCATGGGAGTGGCAGTGGCACTAACTCAGATTGCACTTTGCACAACATGGAGCACATTGAATCAAAAGGTTTGTAATGCATATGAAATATTAGTGAAGCAAAAGGAACATCCTAATAAGAATATGTTGACAATGTATTCTTTCAAGTCAATGTTATTATGGATATGACACCTCCTTGGAAACACATACAGCACTTACATTTAAGAGCTGGAATCTAATATTGTGCAAGAAAAAGAAGATTATGAAGATGCCATTGGAAGCAATGTAGGAAAAGCATATAGGAAACATAACGTGTTTCCCTACTGGAGTCAAACACAATGGTTAATTTTTTTTTCCCGTTACTGGATTTGCAATACTTTCAACGTGCCTTTTGCAATTGGCACATCGATCTCATAGAATAAAATGCAGTAGTTGATGTTTTCTTAACATAATAGTAGTACTTTTAACATCCCTTAAGTTACAAGCCTTTCATGGACATCAAGCAGGACTATATCGATCTCTTCGCACAAAGCTTTGCAATCCGTCCACGCCGACAATTCGTAGGTTCCACCTTGATACAAGTCCTCCACTGGGTTAACTCAAGCTGGCACCGCGTTAACTCAATACAGGTTCGTCTGTCCACTGGGCAAGCTCAAAGTGCCGTGCCTTGCGGAACCCAAACCCAACAATACGCCTTCAACATATGGAAGACCCATTTTAAGTGGGACATAACTAAATCTGAATGGTCTCTCTCGTATTGACCTATTTAGAAAGAGTTATTTTTTAAGTTGTTAACCTTTTGTCCGTAAGACTAACGGTTGTTATTTTGGTTCGCGATTGTGCAAGACAGTCTAACGGGAGTCGAAAATGTATCATGGCGTGTGCTAATCCACTTCCTTTCTTCCCCAAAATGGCGACCACTGCCTCGGCGAATCCAATCCGCGCCATCACCGCCGCCGGCAACGACGATGAGGACCCCGACCTTATCAGCCCCCTCTCGGATTGCATCCTCACCACCATCCTCTCCCTCCTCCCCCTCCCTGCCGCCGGGCGCACCCAAGTCCTATCCCACCGCTGGCGCCGCCTATGGCCCTCCGCGCCACTCCACCTTCTCGACTCCCACCTCCCCGTCCCCGCCTCCTCCCTCTCCGCTGCCGTGTCCCGGATCCTCGCCTCCCACTGCGGCAGCGCCGTGAGGTTCCATCTCCTCATCGCCCGTCCCTCCGCCTCAGACTTCGACTCCTGGCTCCGTTCCCTCGCCGCCAAAAACCTCCAGGAACTCGTCCTCCGGCCCCCCTCGGACAAGATCCTTCCCCTCCCTCCGTCATTCCTCGCCTTCCGGTCCCTCCGCACCGCGGAGCTCACCAACTGCCGCCTCCCCGAGGACGGCGCCGGTGGCGGCGAGGTCAATTTCCCCCACCTCGGCGAGCTCACCCTCCGCCTCGCCAGCGTCCCCTCCTCCGCCGCGCTCCATGCCCTCCTGGTCGGCTGCCCCGAGCTCGCGAGCCTGTCGCTCGACCGCGTCTTCGGCTGCCGGGCCCTCCGCGTGCGGTCCTGGAGCCTGCGCAGCCTCACCGTGTCGGTCTCCCCTGACGCGGCGGCGCGTGCAGGAGGAGGCGGCGGCGCCGAGCTGGAGCATCTCGTCGTCGAGGACGCGCCCGCCCTGGAGAGGCTGCTGGCGCACGACATCAACTGGGGCCCATCGATAAACGTAGTGCGTGCGCCGAGGCTGCAGATGCTCGGCTACTTGGGGATCGGGATTCCAGAGCTGCAGCTTGGATCGGCATTATTTCGTTCCATGTGCGCTGTTAGACTGGAGGCGGAGCTCCGGTGTGTGAGGACGCTGGCGCTGGAGATGGCGGAGCCGCAGCTGAAGCCTGTGGCGGACTTCCTGAAGTGTTTCCCCTGCTTGGAGACGCTCTATGTCATGGTAATTTTAGTCGTCCTACCGGAAATCGATTGATTGTTCATACCTGGTTAAAGCTTGTGCTGATGAATTTTGCTATTGCTGTGTTGCAGTCTCACATGGTTGTTCCCCAGAGCATGAGAATATTGAATCATGAGATGGATGATGATCGCATAGAGTGCCTCCACCATGACCTCAAGAAAGTGGTGCTGAAAGGTTACAGGGGGCGAAAGCATGAGATGCAGCTTGCCAGTTTCCTTGTTCGTCATGCTAGTGTTCTACAGGTTTTGAAATTCCTGTGTGCAAATGTGTGCAGCGCTAAATGGTTGACAAACCAGAAAAGACAGTTACAGGTGGACAGCCGGGCATCTTTGGGGGCTCAATTTGTTTTTGAGAAATTTAGCAAGAGCTACATCAGGTTTCTGAAGCCAGCAAGTAACATATCTTTAGTTGATCCATTTGATACTTAATAACCCTGGGCTCTTAAATAAATGTTTTCTCCATTTTCATATCATTAATTTTATTATCACAAAGATAAATTTTATTATCACAAAGATAGAAGGGGTGGGCCTGGTGCAAGCGGTAGAATCTTACCACTTGTGACCGGAAGGTCCCGGGTTCGAGTCGCGGTCTCCTCGCATTGCACAGGCGAGGGTAAGGCTTGCCACTGACACCTTTTCCCAGACTCCGCACAGAGCGGGAGCTCTCTGCACTGGGTACGCCCCCCCTTTTTAAAGATAGAACATGGGATCCTTTTCTGTACACTGGATTAGACTTGTCTGAAACTTGCATGAATTCTGTTTGAAACCTGAATGAAACCTTTGGAAAACTGTGGCCTTATGCTATCCAGTTCCGAGCAGATCCTGCTGGCTAGTTATGCTCCCATTTTCTCTATCTGATGGCATGCATATGGTTAAGCTAAAATGGGTGGACCTGTCTATACTTGACATAAAATGTGTACTTCTGTGTTCTGTCAACTGCCACTGATACAATGATATAGTTGGATATTGTCATGTTTGATTCAGAAGAGCACTGCACTTGTTTTCGGTTAGTTCTATGTGAGTGATTCTTCCCTTATTGGTTGCTCTGTAAATGCTTTACTTTCAGTTCAGTGAAGGGTGACAAAGTCATTGAAAGGATAGTTTCGCTTTGAACGATCATTACCGTCTGAGTCTTTTGTTTTTCTTTGGCCTCATTTCAAATTATTACTATGTATTTGTGCACCGGTGCCTTCTGAAGCAGTTGCTAACTAAGGTGCCTATTATTCACATTTTCATTAAAAGGCAACGCAGTAACTAACTGCATGCTTGACCAAAGACATGAACACTGCCAAATGACATGTTTGTTTTATTCAAACTAAAGGAAACATTAATCTGTGAGCAAGATGACCAATATCGGAAGACCCAACAGAGGAATGGCATAGTTGTCATGACACTATCTGAGGATGACCATCTTGATTGCAGAATCCGAACTATTTCATTTTCTGTGGTAATACTGAACATCAATGATCCTACATGTATCAGAAAATAAGAAAAATCCTAAGGATTACACAGGTAGGAAATATATAGTGGACCACACGGCACACGCATCGCTAAATGGGTGCTACAACACAACGCATCGCTAAATGGGTGCTACAACACCTTGCATAGGAAAGGAGCACTCATCACATTCCTGCTGAATCCTCCTGTGTTATGTGTTGTTCTGTTCCTGAACCTAAATCGCAGCTTCACCAACGCAGTGTCACTGTTATAACTAGTGATGGCAGCTGTCGGGCAAGGTCGCGAGTATACCAGCGACCCTAACTTTTACAAGCCCAAGCGAGCATACCCACAGGTAAGTTTCCGTACCTGCGTCCGTGCCTGGCGGGTACTCAGCGGGTATTGGGTATATTAAAGAGAGATCAAATACTAAAATCACATTGATATGAAATAATAAATTCATAATTAAATGACACGCAAATATGCCATCACTAGTTATATAATAATTTTTGAGTATTAAAATAAAATATAATAAGGTTTAGGAAAATGTTTGTTTCGTCATGCTGAAGCGTTTTGATTTTGGATGAGTGTAGGGTTAGTTTGAGTGTACATGCAAAATCTAGAAAATGAAAAGAATTTTGTTTTTTGAAAATTTCCCTAACTCCTTTCTAGCACAACACCAGAACCAGCCCATCGTTTCCTTCTCTTCCACCCAACCCGCCACCCTCTCCCGCGTGAGCTCCGCCCAGGCGCCCAGCCTGAGCAGCCCACTCACCTCCTACTTCGCCCCGCGTGAACAGCCCAGCGCCCGGCCATCCTCATGGCCCGATCGGCCTGCTCGGCAGGGGCTTCGACAGCCCACTCCAGCCGCTGTGCCCTCCCACTCTCTGTCTGGCAACCAGGGCCCGCATGGCAGCGGCTCCCTTCCTCGCCTTCCTTCTTCTTCCTCTCGGCTATGGAGATACCGACGCCCCAATCACCGCCCGCCTTTCTTTTTGGCTGATTGGAGGCTGGTTTGGCAGGCCATCACCGCCAGCAATCGATCCCGGAGATCGCGCCCTGCCTTCTCCACACTCCAACGCCGCTCTATAAAGCCTTCGGCTTCGCCCTCCCCTTTCTCCCTTTGCTGCCGTTCACGACCACCACCCACCGCCACTCCAATCTTCGCTTCCCGGATCTTCGTCGTCGCCGTAATCGTGCCCAGAAGCTTCTCGAGGTGACACCGCGGTCATAGATCCCCTTTTCTATCCGTTTCCATCACGGTTTTGCTCACTGATGGTCGTTTCTCTCCCCAGTCCACCATTCCTCTTCGCCTATCGCTGTGGAGACATCCCCACTGTCGAGAACCCTGTTGTACTTATAGGATCTCTAGGAGCGTAGATCTAGCCGGGTACTTCATGTAAATGGGTAGCATGTCCTAGTACATGTTCTGAAGCGAGAGATTAGAGGGAGGAGTGGAGGGGCGTGTCGAGCTGACACCGCAGAGAGGAGGATCCACTCGCGTTTGCCATGGAGTCGGTGTCTCGCTAGAAGCAGCGGCGGTCGGTGAAGATGGCGCGTCGGTGATGCGCGGTGGCGACTAGCGGTGAAAGCGGTGGAGTCTGGTGGCGGCGTGGTGGTGGCTTCCGTCCACCGCTCACGCCCTCTAGATCGGATTAGGGTTTGTCGGTGTCGGTTGGGAGCTCAGCTCAGGTCAACATCGTGATAAGAGCTGCCGCCCCCACCTCTTTTTATAGCGCAGTGTGACAGGGGCCCTCCAGCCATGGTGGGATGGGCGCCCCCGATTAGGGCGCGAATCAAAGGCCCAACTGGGCCATTGGGTGCAGTTAAGATTAGAGATCAATCTAACAATCTCCCCCTTGATCTCCTTCCATCTTTCATTTTCATATCATTTACTTTTGTTCATTCCATTATAGATTAGCGCATAGAGCATGTTTCATCGTCTCGGTCAATTGCCGATAGATTTAACAGCTACAATACACCACTCTGTTCTGAAATAGATACTTATCTTTGGGCCTTCTTTTGTCCAAGAATTATAGGCTTTCCCTTAAACCCATGCCGACTACATGTTCTCTGAACACGTTGGATGGTAAGCCTTTTGTAAGCGGATCCGCGAGCATCTTTTCGGTACTTATATGCTCAAGACTTATGACATGATCCCGAACTTTATCTTTCACAACATAATACTTTATGTCAATGTGTTTGGCAGCACCACTTGACTTATTGTTGTGAGCATACTGTACTACCGGATTATTATCGCAGTATAACTTAAGTGGTCTATAGATGTCGTCAACCACCTTCAAACCGGGTATGAACTTCTTTAGCCAGTTCACCTGCCCCGTTGCCTCATAACACGCTACAAACTCGATATACATTGTGGACGATGTAGTGATGGTTTGCTTTGAGCTTTTCCATGAAATAGCTCTCCCTGCGAGAGTGAATACATATCTAGACGTGGATTTTCTATCATCTCTCGCATAATCAGAATCTGAATATCCCACTATTTGGAGTGAATCAGATCTTCTATACGTCATCATGAGGTCTTTCGTTCCTTGCAAATAACGCAAGACTTTCTTTACTAATTTCCAGTGTTCTGTTCCAGGATTGCTCTAGAATCTACCAAGTAACCCAGTAACAAATGCCAAGTCAGGGCGCGTGCATACTTGAGCATATTGCAAGCTTCCGACAGCTGAAGCATATGGAACCGCTTTCATTTGATCGATCTCATATTGTTTCCTAGGGCATTAAAAATCCCCATATTTGTCGCCCTTGACTATAGGAGCAGGTGAGGGACTATATTTGTGCATACCGAATTTCTTTAAGATCTTTTCTATGTATGCCTTTTGTGATAGTCCTAATACCCCTTTACTTTTATCTCGGTGAATCTCGATCCCTAGAATGAACGAAGCTTCACCAAGATCTTTCATATCAAATTTTGAGGACAAAAACTTCTTTGTTTCCAGCAGTAGACTGACATCACTACTAGCAAGTAAGATATCATCCACATATAGGACAAGGAAGATAAACTTCCCATTCTTAAACTTTGCATAGACATAATTGTCCTCTACATTCTCTTTAAACCCAAAATTCCTTATTGTCTGATCAAACTTCAAGTACCACTGTCTTGAAGCTTGTTTTAATCCATAAATCGATTTCTTTAGGCGGCATCCCATTCGTTCTTTTCCTTCCATGATAAAACCTTTTGGTTGTGCCATGTAAACATTTTCCTCCAAGTCTCCGTTGAGAAATGCCGTCTTTACATCCATCTGATGTAATTCTAAATCGTAATGTGCCACTAATGCCATTATGATTATGAAGGAATCCTTACATGAGACTGGAGAAAAGGTCTCATTGTAATCAATCCCTTCTCTTTGCATAAAGCCTTTTGCCACAAGTCACGCTTTATATCTCTCTATATTCCCTTGAGAGTCAAGTTTTGTTTTGTAGACCCATTTACAGCCTACTGTTTTGGCTCCTTTAGGAATTATCTTCAAATCCCAAACTTTATTGGCATTCATAGATTTCATTTCATCTTCCATGGCCTCAAGCCACTTTGATGAATGATCACTTCTCATAGCTTCTTCAAATGAGGTGGGATCATCCTCCATTTAAAATTCCTCAGTGTTGTATACTTCATAGTCAGCAGGAATAGCTGATTTTCTAACTCTTTGAGACCTTCTAGGGGCCTCCACATTTGGCACATTTTCTGTTTGAGGCTGTTGTTGCTCCCCTCATGTGTGGCAATTGGTTCTATAGGATCCTGAAGAATAGGTTCCTCATCGTCATTCATTGTTACCACAGGCAGAATAACAACAGGTGCTGGCACCACAATATCTTGTACTATCGGTGCAGCGACAGCAGGTAGTGAGAAAAATGGCTCATGAATCATCGGAGTGGGCGCATACACCCTCTTCTCTTCAAGGTCAATTTCTCGAGCTACCATGCTCCCCCTCATCATTTCATCCTCTAGGAAGATAGCGTGTCTCATTTCC